CGGCGGCCTGCGAGGGAAGTTTCCTGCCGGCCTGGGTGAGCGGTGTGCCCCGCGAGCGGCTCCGCGACTTCCAGCACCACAAGCGAGTGGGCAACTACCTCATCGGCAGCAGGAAGCTGGGCGAGGGCTCCTTCGCCAAGGTGCGCGAGGGGCTGCACGTGCTGACCGGAGAGAAGGTGAGCCGCCCGGGGCGCGGAGCCCCCGGCCCTCGGGGCGGGAGGAGCGGCGGGGGACCCTGCGGGGAGCACTGCACCGGGAGTCCGGCTGCGTCGTCCCGGCCCTGCACCTCCCCTCCGCCTGCCTTTCCTTGCGGGTTGAAAGAGGGCACGAGTCCAGCGCGCACGCACACCCCCGCGGCTGGCTTACCGGCCTGGCCCGAGGGGAGGTCTGGGGTCGGCTTCCCTAGGGGGGCGGCTGGTTTACCCACCAAGCTCGCCGCAGCCTTTTTGCTCCTCGAAGAGCGCCGCCTGGTGGACACCAGCGCGGGGGATGGTGGAGGTGCTCTGTTCTTGGGGCCCATAGGAGCCCCACATCAGTCGAGGGGCTGGAGCCAGGCCATTGTGTTGCGTGGGCCATTACGTTGAGGGTGGGGGAGCCGGTTAGCCAGCCCTTGGGGAAGCTTAGAATCTGATTCCTCTCCTGGGCTTAGGAGGTGGGGGAAGGCCGAGACCCCGGGGACATTTTCCACCTGTAGGCTGGGGCAGCTAGGGAAGTTTTTCGTGCTCAGATGAGGGTTTTCTGACCCCTCCTCCACCCACCCATTCCCTCCTACCCCTGCTTTCCGATCTCACCCACCCCTCCATTCACCACCCATTCCCGTCTCCTTCCCTCCGTCCCTCCTCCATTCTCTTCAGCCACTGGGTAGGAGCAACAGTAAGGTCCCTGCTCAGGCCGGTACAGAACTACACGCTGATATCCCCAAGCTTCAGGGTTGGGAGGTGCCTTCATATCTTCCTGGGAGAAGGGAAAGCAAAGGAAGATCCCCAGAGACCCGAAGGGGCACTCTCTCCAGACTTGTGAGAAGTTAGATGGTTGTGAACCCTTGCCAGGCGTTGCCGAGGGAGATCTAAGTTGTAACTTGGATCTGTGAGAACAAGCTCAGGATAGGATGACTTAATTTGCAGGGGAGTGGCCCAGACACTGGGTCATCCCAAGTGGTGAGGCTGCCTGGCAGCTGCCCAAGTTCGGGGCAAGCTCGTGGTCATCTCAGACTCAAGGCTCGCCCTCCTCCCCTGCCTCCTCCCTCCTCCCCACCCCTGCCTCCTCCCTCCTCCCCCCTCCCCGCCCCCGCCCCCAAGGCTTGGAGTCTCTCAGCACTGGCCAGGGAGTAGCCCCTTTTGGTGGCTCATTCATCAGGGAGGCATCAGCACATCCGGGGAGAGGGGAGCTGTAGACTTCCTACCCACCCTTCTGCCCACTGACCTGGGATCCTCTACCCAGCCTGGGAGTTCCTGGGAATGCCATACTGTGGAGCTCTGATTCTAGGGCGAGCTGCTCTGCCCTCCTGTCCCCAGCCTCACCTAACTTTGGTTTCCCTCCTCCTTTCCCTACTGGGTCCTGAAGCCCCTTGCATTTGAGTGCAGGTCTCTATTACCCTTGTCATTTGTCCTCTATTCCTAAGCTGCTCATGCTCCAGTGGGGTACCTTTGTTTTGGGTAGGTGGGGTAAGAGTGAGTAGTTTAAAAAGTGCCTCTTGCTTGCATTTCCATGTAAAAAGGGAGTGTGCAGAATGAACTCACTGAATTGAGTAAGTCTTGAAAGAAGAAGGAAAAACACTCCTAACCTCATTCTAGTCCAAAGAGAGCAAGCACAGCGTACTTTCCTCCTTTGGTTTGCAGTGGGCTGGCCAACTTACACATCCGGCCGGGCTGCACGGCCGAGGCCCCCCTCGCTAACTACAGTGGGCTCACTTCCCCATGCCCGGGTAAATTCCTGTTGGTATGGGTAGTCGAACTTTGTTTTCCTTTGAAACGTATAGGATTCAGTCTGGTTGTGCATGTTCCCACTTGAAACTTAGCAAAAAGAGACGAGACTTTATACTGATGGCATATGGCCAACATTACGAGCGCATTCATCTCGCCTGCCCTGCCGCTCAGCCTCTCCCGGCTTCTCTCCACTTTCCCATGCCCTGTTGTATCTCTGGCTCCTCACCGGTGCAGGTTGGCTTCATAACACAAGGCTGTTGGCCTTGGCTGAACTGGGCGAGGATGCGCTCCGAGCTCAGGCCCTCCTCGGGGCTTCTAGAGCTCTGTGCTGGGCCCACAGGACAACCTGGAGTGCAGGGAGTTCTTGCCCAAATGGGGTCCAAATGAGGAGCCTTTTGCACCCCTAGCTGTCCATGTCCTTTCTCTTCCGTCTTATCTTTCTTTCTTTTTTAAAGACTTTATTTATTTTAGAAAGAGAGAGAGAGTGCAAGTGAGCTGGGGGGAGGGGCAGAGGGAGAAGGAGAGAGAGAATCTCAAGCAGACTCCCTGCTATGCAGAGCTCGTGGGAGGCTCGAACCCACGACCCTGAGATCATGACCTGAGCTGAAATCAAGAGTCAGACACTCAGCTGACTGAGCCACCCCAGGCGCCCCTCCTCTTATCTTTCTTAAATGAATCTCACCTCGCCTCAGCAAGGGGAGGGGACCATTAATTGGCTGTCAGATTGTCATTCTTGACTACTCGATTGGCTCTAGCCATGAGAATCAGTGCTTCAGGGAGTACAAGCATCACGAGAAACCTGGATTTTAGTTCACTTAATTGCCAGCTTTAAGGAAACAATGGGTGTCATTCATAGCTTTTATCTCCCAAATCCGACACCTTTAATGCTTAACCTAGTAGATTAGGGTTCTGGCAGATCATAGAGATTAAAATGTGCGTGTGCGTGAGCGCGCGTGCACCACATGCATGACTTTGGGAAGGATGACCGAGTTCATGAGCCCCCATCCACACTTGCGTTCTGGATATTGTCTTACTAAACCCAAACAGAGGTGAAGTCAATCTCCTGCTATATGCAGCCCTCTTTTTACAAGGGGAGCTGGTAAGAGGGTTTTCAGGCTGGCAAAGGGGTACTTATGTGAACCTAGCAAGGGGAGACCTTGAGGTGACAGTACCCTGGGGGAAGGGAAGTGAGGTGTCCCTCCCAGTGGGTGATGTGAATGGCCCTGGAGAGTCTCTCCCCCTAATAGTGCCCCCCTTTTTGGGGTGCATACTTTAGATAGAGCACTTCACTTTTATCCTTGTCTTCCTTTTTTAAAGGACATAGATCACAGCGGGAGGGAAATTAAGTCATGGACACTGTAGTAAGAAGTGAATGCATGGCCCTATGCCATCCCCTGAGTGGCAGGATCCGGGGCAGCTTGTGGTGGGGAATCAGTTCATGCAAAAGCTGAAAGGTGGGATGGAGAAAGGGAAGAAGAGGGGGTACCCACGTTTGGCCTGCCTTACAGTTGCAATCTCAAACTATGCACTGTGTTTTGGGTGATTTGTGCCCAAATCTAGAGTACTGCTGGTTTAAGACACGGTGTGTGTGTGTGTGTGTGTGTGTGTGTGTGTGTTACATTTCGACTCAGTGCACATTTCCAAAAAGATCTGGACCACATCCTCCATGGCTTGCTGGGAATTGCAGTTGGAGATGACAGAAAACCACTTTTTCCTGACTTCCATCTCAGGCTTCAATCCTATCTCATCAAGAAGCTTCCTTCGGTCACCGCTGTCTGCCGGACAGGATTTTCACCTGCCTGCCCTCTGAAGTTGCTTGTTTGAAAGTCATTTGGATCTAGATGGTCCTGTTGCTGCTTGAAAAGAAAGAATGGATTTGGGTGACACCTACTTTTGTCCTCCTTTAGCTTTGAGTGGATGTCATCTCTGTTAATATGGCTTTAAAAATAAATAATTCCCTTGGTCATGTGAGCCTCTTAATGGGTACGTTCTTAGGTCAGAGTGTCTGTGACTACAGGAAACTGATGATTGGAGGAGGAAAAGGCACCACAAAATCAGATTTTGAAGAGTATTCACTGAGGCTTTGAGACAAAGAGCAAAGTTGCCGAATGGCGATAATGAGTGATGACTTTGAAAGACCCAGAGAGGTTGTGCTTGCTGCCCCTGAAATTGGTCCCTGATACCTATGAAATGCATCGTTTTGGCACATAATTGGTTATTATTACATTTTTTTTTAGAAGACGTGCTAAAAGAAAGTTGGAAAGACTGACAGAGAAAAGCAGGTACATCTCAGGTAGAGAGCTAGTTTCAGAGGCAAAACTGCAAAAAAGGGGACAGGGGTTGATGCCACAAAGGACCCCCTTTTGTGATTAAGTCTTCTAAGATGCAGAGTTGGGTACATAAATGATTGGTTAAGATGTTTAAATATCTTGTTCTAACCCTTGGTTAAAAAAAAATAAGCCTGTTTATCACTTTTGTTGGAGCTATTTTGGGGCTAAAAATAAGGGTTGCCTGCTTAGTAAGTTGCCAGTAATTATGCTTGGAGCACGACAGCGCCAGATACCTGGAGTGAAGGAGTTACTAAAAATACAATTTACTATGTTTTGCAGAACAGGAAATATGACTAATTTTAGAGATGGCCTTGTGGCAGATCTGTTTTTAGCAAGTATTTCTGAAACAAACAGGTGCTAAATCCTGTGTATATATACATATAAAGTTTTTTTTTTGAAGTGCTAGAAATTTAGGGGTAATAGCTCCGAGGAACAAGAAATGACTGGAGAACTGGAAATTCCTATTAATCCGCAGCAGGAATTTCTGGGCAAGAAGGAGGCGTTTGGCAAAAGCACCTGCTCAGCATGGCGTGTGTGACAAGGCAGTGCCTATAATTTCTGCGATTGCATGCTGCAGTTTCGGGCACATTCTTTTTGAACTTCCTGCCCCGTCTCATCTTTTTGAAGTACGTGTGAATGGTGGAAATTGGCACGTAGGGCTCAATTCTCAGTGTTCATTGATGCACAGGTCCCGTGGACTTCAAAGGGAGCTTAGGAATCGGCACAACAGGGCTGCGCAGGGCCCACGAAGGGCCGTACAACCCTAAATTTTCTCTGCAGGTGTTGAGTCACCATACGGACTGGGTTCGACGACAGCGTTCTGCTCCAAGGGGGGCATGGCAGTCAGCCATCCTGGTGGGGATCTTCCAGAAGGTGGTGGTGGGGGGCGGGCGGCAGCTGCATCTGCGCGGAGAGATGGGC